AATAATAATAAATTATCAAAAGCGATGCCTCTTATTTGCAAATCGAATTAAACGGCGTCTGATAAAAAAAAAATCTCAACAGCCAGGTTATATCATTTAGCGTGTAGAAGAAAATGTTCACTCCTATATGCGCTATTTAGGCCAAATTTAATCTGTGTACGAAGGTGCATATGTGGAGAGCAAGTTTGTCTGCTTGTTGCGCAGCGGTTGCAATGACGTCGGAACGCCGAGCTTTGATTGGCTCTGACTGGAAGGAGAGTGGGTAGACATCAATGCTAGCTGCCCTAAGGTCTACTCATTATCCTTCAATCAGAGTCAATCAAAGATCTGTGTTCTGATTAGGGATGCCGCGAACCACCCTAGGTTCGAATTCGAAAGGTTTCGATATTTTCGAACCGAACTGATGTTCGATTTAGAAAAGTTTCCATATTTTCGACTGCAGGGAGGTTCGAATTCGAAAAATTCGCAACTTTCCAAAATTGTGGGGTTTCGAAATCGAAAAGTTCGAAGCTTTCACGGTTTCTAAAAGTTCGGGTTCGATTATTTCGAATATTTGTTTACTTGAGGTTCGATCAATTCGAAGATTTCGAGCTTCCCTAATTTTAAATTCGAGAGATTCGAATGTTTCGAATTTGTTTAGATCTAAAATTCGAAAAATCGAACGTTTCGAATTTTTAAAGACATAAAGTTCGATAAATTTGAAGATTTCGAATTTCTTCCTACATAAAGTTCGAAAAATTCGGAGGTTTCGATTCTCTTTTAATGCTAAATTCGAAAAAAAAAAGAAAAAACTTCGAAGGTTTCCGATTTTTTTTTAAGTCCAAGTGCACAAAATTCGAAGTCCGGTTTTCATGTTCCGACACAGTTTCAGTTTCAAATAACGTTTTCACGCCTCACTGGTTTTCACGAAATCAAGTTTAGAAAAGTTCGAGTGTGATATTTAGACTGCGCGAAGTTGGTCAAGCAATTAAATAAGACGACGAGTGCCCCGCATGTGCTGGAATATTTGCCAGTGCAGAGACGTGTAACAATAGATCAGTAATTGTGACCGCCAGCCCGGGGTGGTCATTAACGTGCATTACGAAGTAGTGATCCTACGAACGCACTGTTTAACGATACTCATCCAGTTCGAAACGGCCAGGGGCAGGCAGGTGGTTGAGGTTCAGAAAAACCTTGAAGTGATCTGGCAAACTGCCCCCCTACCCCCTTGCACGCTGGTAGTAATCCGATCGAACGCCGCCCGAGTGACGCTGGCATATAGTAAGTTTAGTTTGTACATGATGCAAAATCCTGAGACTGGGAATGAAATTTGAAAGAAAAAGTGTAAGAAGACAGAAAAAAGGGGACAGGATAACGTCTCAAACTCAACTCAGCTGAAAACTCAGCTCCAGGACAACGTCTCAAACTCAACTCAGCTCAAAACTCAGCTTCAGGACAACGTCTCAAACTCAACTCAGCTGAGTTTGAGACGTTGTCCTGTCGCCTTTTTTCTTTCTTCTTACACTATTTCTTGCGAATTTCATTCCCAGTCTCGGGATTTTGGATCATGATCAACATACACCAGCTCGCCTGCACCTTGGCAATTTTTTTGTTTGTAATTGCTTTGGAGGTTTATTTTCTGGGGCAGAAGAAACGCCGAGCAAAACGCACAGAAGCTGTCGCAACTTGAGGTCGAGGAGCGTTCTACCATACCAGTGGCGTCGGAACGTCGGAAGAGGAAAAACGGGGGGAAGGGGGGCGGGGGGGGCGGGGGGGGGGGAGCTCCAGTTTCTCCACCCACCCCCCCCCCCCTCCCAGGTATTTCGGACTGTTAAAGGGAAAGAGGGCATGGTCGAGCTTATTTTAATCTGAAATTATTTATGCATATGTATAGCTACTGTCGCTCTTCACTGCATAAAAGATCGCGTGGATTGTCATTGTTAAGGCCGGTTCTCACATGCAGCGAAGCGCTGATGTAACGCTGCTCACGTGCCGTCAGGTACTTATCGTATGCCATGAGCAACAGTTTTTACGGTGCGATACAAAGCTGGTGAACGCTCCCGTCGGCACGTGCTTAGTACGAGGTCAGCGCTATGCTTGTTGCGCTCGGCTGCATGTGTGAACAGGCCTTTAGAAACTCGTTGTCAGGAGGCACTACTCGTCACATGCTCGGTGGCTCGAAAGTTCGAAGCTATGTCTTTTCGACCTAAATAACTGTGCCATTGGTAAAAAATAATCAATAAATAAACATAACAATAAATGTCAAAAATAAAAAGCTGGAGAAAAAAAAAAAAAACTATCAAGAACCCGCTGGAAGTGTTGTATTCTTGCATATTCAGAGGTCCAGAACTATGAAACAAGTTTCTCCTACCAAAATGTCTACAGGCCAAAAGAAACACGTCCCAAAAGCGTAAAATGAAAAAAAAAAAAAAATTTATGACGCGTTGAACTTGAACAATTTTAAAAGTCTTCCACCATGAGTTAATTTATTCCTCAACGTGAAAAAAAACAATAAATACATTATTTTGTATTCTGCAGATGGTAATGATATGTACTGTATCCCGTGTTAATTTAAATGCGATACCCAAACAATGTAGGCGAAAAAAATTACCAAGTTTAGGGCATCATTGTCCGTAGGTACATGTTTGGATATTTATTCTAAACTCGTCTTGAACAAAAATAATCATATCTTAAGACGACACTCAAGTAGGCTATATATAGATCATTCTTAAAAAGTTTAACATCTCTACCATAAGTAGCTTCGTTTATAGAGCGCTTCAAATATGGCACAAACGACAATTGTCAAAAACCCGTGGTCCGTCCTCGCTCCTTCGGGAATCTATTTTTCTAAAACCAAGCATGCCAGATGATTGAAATAAACGGCATTGTCTTTCGCAAGGAATGCGTCACCCCATGTAAAATTGCAAAAAAAAAAAAAAAAATTACGAATGTGCCTCACTGCTTGAATACAAATGCAACCACCCGCCGGTCTTTCGAAGTTCGACGAGCTTTGAACTTTTACCCTAAAAGGTCGAAGTTCGTCGAACTTTTGACTTTTCAGGAATCGAGAGTTCGACAATTTTCGAATTCATTAGATTAATAGGTTCGAACGTTCGAAAATTATCGAATTTCTTAGCGTAGGAAGTTCGAAAGTTCGAAAAGCTTCGAAGTTTTTAGTGCAAGAAGTTCGAAAGTTCGAAAATCAACGATTTTTTTAGTTTATCAAGTTCGAAAGTTCGACAATCATCGAATTTTGCAGCGTAATAAGTTCGAAAATTCGAAAAGCGTCGAACTTCTTAGTTTAATGAGTTCGAAAATTCGACTTCCGTCGAATTTCTCAATATGGAAAGTTCGAAAATTCGAAATCTTTCGAACCTTTCAAAACGCTTCATTCGATCATCGAAACTTCGATTCGAAAAAAGTTCGCGGCATCTCCAGTTCTGATGTTAACGAAACCCCTGCGCAGAAAGCAGATGTACTTGCGCTCGGCATAGATTAGAGTGAACAACTTTGATGCCTCCTTTCTGCATGATTCTTCGTCTGCATCAAGGTGTTGAGTGTAGACAATATTGGTTAAGAAAACAAGCGTTGTGATTGCCGCTCAGCGTTTCTATAAAAGGTACACTGAAAGGGCTTGTCCTAAGACGTTCGTGACATTTTGAAAATATCATTGCTCTTGGCTCACTTGCGTCGTCATCATATACAGGGCGCGGCCGTAGGGACTAACACATTTGGCACGCCTTGCAATATTCGATTTCCATACATACATACCTGAAACTAGGTACGCGAAAGTAGTTTTGCAAGAAGTGTTATATGTGTATTTTTTTCCTATGCCCTATCCTATTCCGGATGTTCGTCGTCTACACACCGATTTGTGAGCTTGCTCACAAGTGGTCACTTTTCATATATTTCGTTAGAAGTATTGATTATCGCGAGTATCTCGCTCATCGCCAGCCTCTTCTATTGGTTTTTAGCGTTTTTGCTTTCAGCAAGCCACCCTGGAGCGAGCTCATAAATAAACTACGTTCGTGTGCCCAGTTTTAGGTATGCATGTTTGTTTGGAATTCGTATTTCGTAAGGCGTTGCAAATGTGTTGGTCCTTACAGCAGCACCCTGTCTATTGTGAAAAGTATGTCGTGAACTATATTTCAATATATATATGACGACGAGGTGTTTATTTTATGATTTTATTCACTGTAATTAATTTTTTACTTGAAGAGCACAATTACAATTCAACTTTTAATACAGCGACGCAAAGTTGTAACAATCACGGGTATTTTAGGCGACCTACCACACTTCGCGACAACTTTTCGTTTCAGATAAAACACATGCGACTGAGCTAAACAAATGGATGTGGAGTCATATAAACGCGACGTTTTGTATGTTAGTCTTGATTTCCGAGAACTTTTGCGTCGAAATTATATAACGATGATTCTTATTTTTGGTATATGAAAATAAAAGTGGATTGTACAAACGATAAAAAAAAATATATATATAGAGTTGTTCGTTTTAAAGCGAACATAGTGCCTCTTGCCAAAGCAACGTGCCGGCGTGCGGTCGTGTATCACAACTGCGTGGTGCACTTTAAAGACCCCCAGGTTTGCGGTTGTACCGCACTGGGTAAATTGCTCATCTACAGCTGAGACTCCAGACGCCCACTGAGGCAGACTTACTTCCGGCTGTATAAACATACACACAACAATTTGCTTGCAAAACAACGCGGGAAATATATTCTCAATTGAGCCGTTCAAACCGGTTTCAACCGTTATTTTTGCTCCCCGGAACTGAACCAGATCTGGACCGGAAGCCGTGAACCCGAACCGGAACCGAACCCATGAAAATTTTGGTTTGACACTCTGCCAGCCACATAATGCACTTCAAATATTGTCAGAGGCAAAATTGGGAACTGTATTTAGCCGTTTTTAGGTTCAAGGTTTCAATTACTCTATCGGTGGGATTTAAATTTACTAAAAAATGCGTGACAAGCGGACTTAATGTTTCGTCTATGCTTTCTTTGACAGGAAATACGGCGAAGACTTGAAATCCAGATGAGGATCGACGAAGAGAACCGAAAGTTGGAGGGCACAGTGGAAGAAACCAAGACCGTTCAACACTTCCAAGCCGACAGCGCGGAAACCGAGAGTTCAAGCGTTCCGCCGCAGGCGTTGCTGCAGACACCAACAACTGCGGCAGCGGACACACCGCTCGCCACGCCGAAGCCCCAAGCAGAAGCCGGGACCACCGATCAGACGACCATCTATCGGTCCACGGTGCAACAGTCCCATTCCTCCAGTCAGACCGTGACGTCCGACGAGATTAAAATGCGCGAGGTGTCGCCAACGCAAACGACGCCGGCAGAGGTAACTCAAGCCGTGCGGCCCAAGGTTCTCTACAAGGCTTCAGTGGGCACGGACACTGAAGACTTTGTGGACTCAACGTCGTCGGACACGCAGCAGCCTCAGGACAAGAGACGTCGCACATTCGCGGCGGCCAAGTCCCAGTCCCTCGATCCACCGAGACCGCCGGCCTACCTGGGCAAGGTGGGACAACAGGCCCCGAGAGGAACGCGCATTAGTAATCTCATAAGGTCAGTACGCAACCTATAAATCACAAATTCTTTCTTTGTCCGCACGTTTTTATGAACGATGCAATGGCGACAGTGACAAGTTACAGGATTTTCAGCCGGAATATTGGTCGACCTTTTTATGAACGATGTAGTTTTTCGCATATCATATGGAGTAGATGGAAAGTATGCCCACACGACTCTTTTTTTTTTTGTCCGCATATTTTCATTTTGTGCTCACGATGGCCATGTCTCGATAGACAGGCACTATACTTCGTTTCAGCTTCGGTCCGAGCGCGGCCGATGTTAGGAGCCGAAGGGCCAATCAAACAGCGAAAGAGGCACTTCATGGCGTGCTCTCTGCAGTTGATAGGACCAGCCGGTGTTCGCCGTCTCTCTGCGCGCGCACCTCCGCCGGCTAGTCTTATCAAGCGCAGAGAGCACGCCATGACGCTGCGCTTTTTGCGGTGTTTGATTGGCCCTTCGGCTCATAGCATCGGCCGCGCTCGGACCGAAGCTGAAGCGAAGTATAATGAAACATTTCTCACCGTCTCGCCAATGACACCAAGCTATAGTCGGTGACAGCTTAAGAAACACAGCCCGTGACGAGCCCCGAGAATATTCGTATCGCTCCGCAGCCATGAGATTGCGGCATTCGTAGATAAGGCCGACGAACGAATCATGATCACAACAAGTTACGCCCTGCGTTTTTTTTAAGCTCTCAGTAACTAGAGCAAACTTTCTTCCGCTCGAGTGTCATGAACCCGTTGCACGAAAGGGTGTTTCGAAAATCAGCGGTACTAATACGGCTTCTTCGTTATATCGGCCATGATCGCTGAAAGCGTGGTGCCTTCTGCCAGAACCCTGTCGAAGACGTCGCTCCAGCACACGGAGCCAGAAGGCGTCCTCTACCGCAGCAACAGTCGCTCCTCCCTTCACAGTGAGCTCTCGGACACATCGCACGTGCGCAGGGGAATTGCCAGGCACGGCTCCCTGGCGGAGTTCGATCGGCCCTTTCCTTCGGGTTCCAGCAGAAAGGACGACGACTCGTCATCGGTGGCCGGTGGAACGTCCAGCGGCTATCTCTGCGAGGTATGGCCACTTCCTAAAAGCTATAATGTATTTCATTTCAGAAAACAATACAAATCAAGCTCTACGTGCACTCGCAACCCTTGTATACTTCACACGTCATTCGACATACCAGCGCAGCCGCGTCGGGGACTTGGGGGCAAAGTGTTGGCTCCGTAGAAACCCCAGCTGACGGGTTCAAATTCTGGCGCGCACGCAACCTGATAGAGACTTCTTTTTCACTAGGCACCGTGCGACATCGCCGCAACTTACGGAGGCAGCTCACCGAATGACGATGCCGAAACAGACGTTTAGACCAAAAAATTGAGAGCCTTTCCACCGCTCTGGTAGAGACAATGACGTTTTATTATAGCGCCGCTATGCCAATCACGGCGCAGGCCCCGAAGAGCGCGCGGCATTGCGCAATGTCAGGGGGGGGGGGGGGGGTAGGAGACGAGAGATGCCGCGCGTGGCGAGGAGCATACACGACTCGGGAAAAAGGCGGCGGCGGTGGGGAGGAGTATAAAGTGGGGCATACATAGTTGCGTTTGAAAATCGTTGGTCTACGCTCGGTTTGTCGCCGGCGACGATCCGCCAGAACCTAGCCATAAGCGGGTTCCACATGCAGCGATTCCGCGACCGAAATCGCTGCCGCTAGCGGCGCGGCGGCACGGATCGCGAGCTTTCATTTCACATGAGCGATTTACTGCCGTTGCGATGGCCAATGTTGCTTGCAGCAAGCAGATCCACACAGTCGATTACAGCGGCTTCTAACAACAATTTTAATGCCTTAGTTTTCAGTTTCCCCTTTAATTTCACCTTAATAAAAAAAAGCGTTTAAAATACTAAATAAACCTTGGCCACGGCAGCGTCACAGGCAGCGCCTTCCTCGGATGTAAAGAATCCGAATGATATGGCCGAACTGAACCTCTTGGACGGGGTTGGAGTAGTTGGTATTTCCGAAAAGGGAATATGTGCCCATGATCCGGAGTATGTCTGTCTACGGAGATTGGAAGAGTACCTTAATCCCATTGTTCCTAAATTCTTTGAGCTGCGCGTCCCAAAGAACCCGACGCTTCGACACTTCACTGATGAGCACTTCATTGAACTGGGCGCGGTACATTCTGTCTTACTTGGTGTGATGATCTGTGTTGGAAAAGACACGTTAATGTCGCTCAGTTCTTCTTTTGTTTTTCTCACTAGCGCTCGCACAAACCGCTTCCGATTAGCGTCTCTTGCGGTCGCTACAGTGAGTACTCAGGCGAGGGAAGTAATGAAGAGCCGCGTAACTTATTGAGTAAACAAATTACGAGGAAGAAAACAGCAATCCCCTTCCTCCATAATCTCCTGAACAGCTCTGACGCCACTGCTGAAGCAAAAACGCTCTACGCGCCGGAAAAAAGGAAATCGCAAACCAGTCGCACTTTCTCTGCTTGTCGTCTGGTTCGAGAACGTGAAAACGCCGGGCCGTCCTATGGGCCAGCGTTCCCGCAATGTTTCTCCTCCTGTCACGTGATTTCCCGCCGTGCTGTGAGTGGCCAGCGCGGAAGCCGCCGCTCTGCCCCGGCGAAAAAATTCCAACCTGGTGGAACCGTGTTGCTCCGCCGCTGCGGCTGGCCAGAGCGCCGCGACGGTAGAAATCGCACCGCTCTGGGCCCAAAATCGCTGCATGTGAAACCCGCTATAGACAGCTTCGCTGTAAAAACGCAGTCAAGGATGTGACATTGAGCTATGTAAAACGTCACGTTTGCATTGCTTAATGTCACAAAGAGTGCGTTTTTTTTTTTTTTTTGTCTGAACATGTTTCGGCATCGTCATTCGCTGAGCTGCCTTCGTAAGTTGCATGCGGTGATTGACTCTCCGAGTGTTGTGCTGGAGAGTATAGACGCATGGGCTTTTTTTAGAGGGTACAGTTATGGTATTCTTAATATTGATACCCCGTTATATGGACACCATTCTCGGGGACAAACTGAGAAAACACGTGCAATTTTGTCTCGTTATTATGGATAACTCACATTATGAACGATGTTTTGGGGAACGGAGCTGTCCATATTAAAGAGACATCACTGTACTATCTTGGTGGTGTGCAAAGCACGTTGCAGAAGCTTTGTAGAAGCTAATCGTAAGTTCACGGTGAGCAGAAACTGACTGAACTATGGCCGCTAGTGAATGCCACCTTCGCCACCACGACGTGCTTGAGCGAGCAGGGAGCCAATAATCTTCGTGCGCGATCGCCTAAAGGCCTGTTCACACATGAAGCGGAGTGTTACAAGCAGAGCGCTGACCTCGCGCTAAGCGCGTGCTGACGGGAGCGTTCACCAGCTTTGAATCGCACCGTCGAAACTGTTGCTCATGGCAGACGATAAGTAGCTGACGCCACGTGAGCAGCGCTACATCTGCGCTTCGCTGCATGTGAGAACCGGCCTTAAGAGCCCTTACAAATTACGGCCGCTAAAACATACCATAGCAAGCAGAAATCATCCGTTGGGACGGCTGAAAACGCAGCAGAAAACACGGTGAAAGAAGTGGCAGTACGAACAAGAAACCTCCTTGAAAACATAAATGACATCAGGGTACAAGGTTGGTTGGCAAACAACCAACCCGCTGAATGCTCGCCGAGAAGCTGGTGGTAGCATGTTTAATATCGGTTTCAGAATGGATCGTGATTTCCTATTAGTGTTATATCTTGGTAGTGCTCGTATTTAGTCTGTGTAAATCGATATCAGTCTTTTACTTTGGTTCGACTTTTGACCGGAGTTTCCCTTTAATACACATTCATAAGTCGCCGACCGAAATCTAGTTCGTCACGATGCACACAGGCTCAGCGCAGGCTCAAAACGAGCCCCCACTTATCTGCTGAGAAAAGACTATAATTTGTGTGAAATGTCCGTTGCAGAAGTGCTGTTGAAGCTAATCGGTAAGCTCGCGCTGAGCAGAAACGGACTAAACGATGGCCACCAGGGAATACTACTGTCGGCACCACGACGCGCTTGAGCGAGCAGGCAGTCAATATGGAGATTTAAAATAACGTACGCAATTGCAGAGCATGCTAGCGCTAAATTTAGTGCTTGTGTTAGCACCACGCTACGCAAGAGAGTTTTATTAGGATAGCGTTTCTCCGCCGCGACGAAAAAACCTGAGCGTCTCGCGCTTGCAACGCCACCGAGATACAGTAGCCATTTTCGTTTCATACGCGAAATGCTGTAACTTGAGTCACAGTTTTGCCACTGACATCTTTAAACTTAATTTGTTTGTATGATTACTTTGGGCCCCTACGTGATCTGATAACAATAATTAAAATGACACCGCGCCGCCAACGTGCTGGCATTTTTAATAAAACAAGAGCGCAAGTACGCAGTCGTTCCCGTTGCTCAATTCACTCAAAAATTAACGAAGCTCAATATGTCTCTAAAAAAACAATCATTTAATTTGACAGTTTTTGCTTTTCTAGCGATTTTTATTACAACAGCCTGAACAAATACTTCTATTCTTTTAATGGTGATACCCGAGCTCGTAGCTTTATCATTGGCAGTTGCTCCACCTGATCGAGAGTCTGCGCAGCCGACATGCACCCTTCAACGAAGAGCTCGCGTTTGCTGTTTAGTAGCGGAATTTTTCGTACTGATTAACGCGAGCGAGTTGAAAATTATTACTTAAAATCGAAAGAATAAAACGCATCTTGTTCAGGGTGCAATTTTACTGCCAAAAATAAACGTTGTTGCTAAAGGAGAGAACGTGGTTGTCCTGTGCCTGTCCTCCGCGTTTTATTCTTTCTATTTTAAGTAAAAAAGTTGTTGTGCATTTCAGAAAGCTGGGAAGCAAAATAATAAAGCGAAACAAAGGGCAAATGAACACAGATAAGCATAATCTATGTGAATATATTAAAAGAGCAGAGCTACTTTTCGAGCAAAAGTGAGTCGGCGAGATGAGATCACAGTGGCGCATGCCATTTCTAGCGTTCAAGACGATGGAACAGGGACTCGTAGCCGGTTGCCTGCGGGTCACAACCCAGCGAGTCGCGGGCCGATTGTTTGAGTCCCCTGAAATATACACCCTGAAACCCTGAGACCCCTGAAATATACACCCTTGCCACACGAAACAGAAGCCAGTTTCGCTTGCTGTGCTGATGAATTTGGAAGGGCCTTGACTCCAGGGGTTCTCTACATAAAGGGGCCGTGCAACAATGTCGGGACTTCGGTTAAATAATTGTGGTAGTTACTCCCTGTCACGTTTGGATTAAAGAATTGAAAACAAACTTTGCCCATACGCGTTAGTTCTTTAGAAAAACAAAATCAAACAATGGGCCTTTTTCAGAGTTCGGCCGCGATGGCGGCGCACCCTCTGGGGTCTCTGGAATCGTCGCTCCGTCGTCCACGCCAGCGCGCGCGTGTCTCCCGATCCGTATGTTTACGTGTGTTCGAGCAGTTCCATCTTTTGCCATTCTGCACGTGTCCTTCTGACGTCGTTTCAAGTGCATCTTTGCTGTGAAATAGCTGAGGACGACCCTGGAGGATCAACGAAAGCCACTACCTACAATACGGACGACCTCGTTCGTCTTTGTACCTTCAAAGATGGTTAAACCGCCGACGTCACATCGGTTCCTACCGTCGACTCGGAGTCACTCAATCGTCACTTCGCTCTGGCGTTATGCTAGCAACTGAAATAGGGTTCGGCTTTCAAGGCAGAGTGTTATGTAAAGGAAGTAAAGGTGACCAGTTTCGATCCGACCCAACTAACCACCTTGTGCGAAGCTTGTGCACTCCGTTTATGAGGTCCGGCCACCACTGATTTCACACTCCTTGAGCGCCTAAGTTATTCAAGCTTATTGCGAGGCGACAGCTTTGCGTTCCGTCACTTCGTTGTCTGTTGTGCCGCGCGAGCGCACGGAGCGTCGCCGTTACCCGGGACCGTGTAAACAAACTCGGACGGGGTGAGGTTCGGGCGGGCTTAATGCCACGAAAACTCACCTGCACCGCCAAAAAGTAAGGAATGGTATGTTAGAAACATCCACTCTTTGATTTCAG